CTGGTATCCTCCTGGTCATCATTACCCGAATCAGATGGCTCGTCCGTATCCCGGAGGAGGTCAATATGTTGAGATTGGTGCTGATATAGTTGATCCACATTCGTATTATCCGGCTACACCGAGTAGGTACGGTGATATGCCTCCGTATAGCCCTGTTTCTTCTCACCATCGTGGCGAGAATGGTGAGAAACTCGTGACACCGCTTAGTCCAGCTGTTAATAACTATAATAATCATAATGGTTCGAGTTATCCTTCTTCGATGAGCTCTCCAGGTCCTCGAGGTGGTTACGCTAGGTGGCCGAGTGATCTTGATTCTGAAATGGGCGGTGGTGCTTTTGCTCGTGGGTATGTTAAGAAAGCTGTTTCGGATATTGATGCTCGTCGTTGCCATCCTCTAGGTGGTGGTGCTCCTTTTATAGCTTGTCATAGTTGCTTTGAGTTGCTTTACTTGCCTAAGAAGAAGCTACTGGCTCAGGAAAGGCAACATAAGCTGCAATGTGGTGCTTGTTCTGAATTTATTAGTTTCACAATCGTCGATAAGAAACTCGTTTTCTCTTCTGGTATTGAGGAAACAGTCCCGGTCTCTCTAGAGGTCGAAGATAGAAGCACAACAAACACAGTGGTGGTAGAGGAACTCTCTTCTGTTGATTTCAACAACTCGGGTAGTGATTTTCCGCGTAAGGATGAAGAAGAACCTATACAGGAATCAAGGAATCTCCGGGATACTCCACAAAGCGTTCGGTCTGCTTCTCAATGCTCAGATGATGACGACAGATCGAGCATTTCTAGTGAACAGCAACAGAAAGAAGTCAAATCTGTTCGTCGCCGGGCTAAAGGCTCAAAATCTCCAGAATCCGCATCTCCTGAGACTCCCAGTCTCCTTGAACTTTTTGAGTATTCGAATGTAAACCGAGCTGCACTCGCTTACGGAATGGCACAGATAGGTTATAACAAGCCAAACAAGCAAGAGTCTTTCATGAAAGAAGACTCACTGAAACCGGAATCAGTAGCTACAGAGACAGAGGTTTCTTACAACGGATACTCTAACACCGAGATCTCTGAAGATTCAACGTACTCAAACGGAAGAGAAGACAACAACAACAACAGACCAAGAAGTCGAAAATGTGGTAGCGAGTGCGGTTCCACGGAGATCACAACAAGATCCTCTACTGATCGAAACGAAGACCAAGAGAAGTTATTAGAGGTTTGGGTTAATGGACATCTTATACCAACAGATCTAGTTAGCAGTGCTGAGAAATTAGCTGGACCAATCCAAGCTGGAAAGTATTGGTAATGTCATGAACTTCAGCCTTCACTATTTCTGTCTTTTTTCCCCCTACTTCAGGTTCTAATTTATGTCTCTGATTCAGGTATGACTACCGAGCTGGGTTCTGGGGCGTAATGGGCAAACCGTGTCTCGGTATAATACCTGTAAGTCCCTTCACATACTCCTCTCAAATTGTTTATCGAAGCAGTATCGTCAAAATGATTAGTGTTGATGGAAAAAAATGGACGATTTACTTTGTTATTGCAGCCATTTATTGAAGAGTTTAGCCATCCAATGCCGGATAATTGCGCTGCAGGAAACACAGAAGTGTTTGTAAATGGAAGAGAGCTTCACAAGAGAGATTTCGAGTTACTCGTGGGTCGTGGTCTTCCTCAAGACAAAAACCGTTCGTACATTGTTGATATATCAGGAAGAATCCTTGATGGAGATTCAGGGGAAGAACTACACAGCCTTGGCAAACTAGCCCCAACGTAAGCAAGAACACACAACACATATAGTAAAGCTTTGTTTTG